AAAAAAGCAGCAGAGGAGAGGGAAGCTGCTAAGAAGGACACCAAAAAGGCTAAAGAGAGTAAGTCTTTCTCTACTTTGCATTGGAATACTGGATCACTGTGAATATACTAGTAAATTGTTAGTATTCTTCTGCTAGAAAGAATGTATGCTCTGTTGTTATCTTCAGATTTTGCACTCTGGATTGAAATTTAGGTAGAATTTGTCGCGTTACATGTGGAAGGCTTGCGATTTGAGCTACGATTGAATGAACTATAGTATCTTGAGATTCTACTTTTCTTTGTTAGGTGGAAAGTCTTCTGTGCTACTGGAAGTAAAGCCATGGGACGATGAAACCGATATGAAGAAGTTAGAAGAGGCTGTTCGTAGTGTTCAGATGCCGGGTCTTACTTGGGGAGCTTGTAAGTCGAACAATCTTTAAATCTACATTTTGGACAAAAAAGCCTAAGTTTTTTTTTCTGATGTGTGAATAACATTGCAGCGAAACTGGTACCGGTTGGTTACGGGATAAAGAAACTCACAATCATGATGACAATTGTTGATGACCTTGTGTCCGTGGACAACCTCATTGAAGACTATCTCACCTCGGAGCCTAACAACGAGTACATCCAAAGTGTCGACATCGTCGCGTTTAACAAGATTTAGAGACTCCAAACACTTCCGCATAAAGATATCGAGTTTCCCCATTTTGGTGTCATGGTCTTGTTCATGTACTTTAATGTGTTTCTGTTATGGTTTGATACGACGCTAAAGTCTTTTCTTATAAGTTTTAGGACCATCTTTGGAGTTGAAACACATCAACTTCACTTGGTCTTTAAACTCTTGTAAACTATGCCGAATTACTCCGTTAAATATACAGTATTCATATGTTTGGCTTGGTAACGTGTGAAGAAACATCAAAGCCTACGCATCAAATTACGATGATGTGATTTTTAAAAAGCTTTCTGATAGCTCTATGTTGGGATAGACATAAAGAAATTTGAGAGAGCCATTTTTGAGCAAACCAGCAAGAAACACTTGATAAAACCAGTAACCACATACTCATACCATCCATTATCTCTCACTCTCTCCCCTCGCATTTCTTTCTTTATTCTAGAAGCATTTTTTTCACCTTCAAAGAGAAGGAGGCACAAACTGTCTAGATAAACTAAACAGATCTTTACCTTCGAATGGAGAGGTCCAGTCTCTTCCATTTCCGACTAAACTAGCTTCCTG